TTATTACGTTTTATGTATCAAGTCTTACTCTCTCTGGTGGACATCGACGTTCGTTTTTTTACGCAGAACTGTGCGTTCTGTTCGACGATCTCGAAAGATGTTGTGCGATCAAAGGCGACGAACGCTTAGCGCAATTATAGGAATAAATTTGGAACCTAAATTTCCACATTAGTTTCATTCTGATTGCTTTTTCCGTGTAGGCTTTGATCGTCTTTATCGCCAACGTAAAATAAACTGTCAACAATAATCTTTGCTGCTGGCTCCGGGACTCGATGCGACCGCGATGTTTTTCTTTTATGTTTGTATTTTTGTCTATGTTATGTTTGCGTTTAAATTATCGTTATTCGCTGTTTATCAATAAGGTGAATATTTGATTAAACAGCACGGAGCGTTTGATAGCCTTTTTTTCTGCCATTCTGCGGCATTTGCCAGCCTGCTCCGCACTAGGTGAATTTGGAGTGGCCTCTCCTCCTTCTGGATTTTTTTAGAATAGAATTTTCTTTTCTTTCTCAGCTACAGAAAACAAAAGCTGCAGAGAAGAATTTTTTAATGCTACCAGTGGACAAATAAGGACCAACGACTCTCTAATATTCGTTACTTCGTCCAGAGAAGCTCCAGTCCGCTTATCAGTAAAAGAAATACCTCATGAAACATCATATCTAAAGGCAACGTCAATTATTGATGTTGATAATTATCAACAAACTCGGGTGCGGAAAAATCAGAAACGCTGTCAGAAATTGGTATAGAGGCACCGGCATCTATAACGGATTTACATCTTTTCTGATAGACGATTTAAAAAAAGACCGTCTACCTGACTTTCTGATATTTAACGAAATTAGGTGCAAGACATATCTCCCCCAAGAAATGTATATTCCGACTTGTGGGAGATGCTTGGAAACTGGACATACTTTCATTAATTGTGAGAAAGAGGCAGTATGCAGGTAGTGCAAAGAAACCGAACATCTACAAAGGAACTGTATTAAAAGAGCAACGAATTATCCGACTCCATCAAACCCCACCCAAGCATGGACCATACCCAGACAAAAAAGAAATACACAAAAGAATGACATGTAATACTCGCCCCATAGAACAAGTTCCAAAAAAATCGGCTAATTCAAAATAAAAAGCAATTACAAAACCATGAAATAAACAAAGATACGCCAGTGGATTCGCATAACAACAATTGTCACAGATAATGTTTTTATTCTGTGTGTTGAAAGAATCAGAATTCCATTCAGGCTTGAATACACTTGCTTAAAAATTTAAACTGCCTTGTTAATTAAGTAAGATTCTGATCCGCTCGATCCTCGTCAGTAGCCGTGGCTCGGTGGAAACGAGGAGACTTCAGATTAAACATTAGGCCAGATATCAGAGGTTCGAATCCCACCGAACTGTAGAGCAGGATCAGAAAAGGTAAAAGTGATAATTTGTGGTGGTAATAGAGTCCTGAAGAAGCCAGCAAAATGCCAGCCGCCAAGGAAGGAAGAATCCAACCGAGCTGTAGAGCAGGATAAGGATGGTAATAGAGACCAGAAAGCCAGCCCCCTGGAAAGAAGATAGGCCAGAGAGTCAGGGAAATAAAAGAGTGTGGAGATGGTAAAAAAAAGGTAGTGGTGGCAGTAGAGACAAACCTGGAGAGCCAGTAAAAGGCCAGTCACAAAGCAAATATAATACTCCAGAGCAATTTCAAGGAAACCTGGAGAGCCAGCAAAAGGCAAGTCGCAAAGGAAAGAGATGATAGGCCAAGGAATGTCATTAAAATGAGAAAAAAGTGTGGAGCGAGTCTATATGTAAGTAAAACAAATATGCGAGAGTGAGCAGTCAGCAAGCTCCGCGGTTAAGCAGCTTGATAAAGACAAGCCGCTCAGCGAGTCTGCAAATGCAAGAAATCATGAGCAAGCTCGGCGGTTAAGCAGCAAAAATTGCCCATAGCCGTTGGTGTAATTTTTTAAGCAGCTTCCGTTTGTTTTCGATGTATTTTGGGGTTGTGTATAATAATAAAATATGGGATATTTCATATCAGCACGATTTAAAGTGTTAATTGAAGTAAATGTAAAACCAACCGCCAATGTGCGAACTGAATATACGACATGGCGTATAAGTAGGGTTACCATATTTTTGTGACATCAAATCGGGACGCCTCAAAAGACAACGACCCCTTAGCTGTGATTTTGCAACTTCTCATTTTTCAATTTTGCCCTACATTCCCACATTTTAAGCTGTCCCGGCTGTCTTTATTGACCATATTGTTATCAAAATTTCATGCGCATATTCTCTGTCCAAATATCGGGTTCAGTTCGAAAAATAGGAGGGAATTGACGTTAACGATACCGGTACAAATAATTCGAATTTTGCCTACATTTACATGCGATACGTCTGCCAATCAATGGGAATCAGCGGGAAACGAAGGCATTCACCTTCAGTAAGTAGGCTAGCGCTGAGCTAACACCGAAACAACAGTAACGAGAACATGTTTGTGTATCACGCTGGGAAAAGCGGGACTTTTGGCTGACTTATCGGGACGGCGAGACAAAACGCTGAAAAGCGGGACGTATGGTAAGCCTACGTATAACTGTCGAAAAAATCTTTCTAAGAACGATAACGTTAACAAACCTTTCAACTGATTTGCCACACGCGGACATTTCCAACCCCCTTACCTTTGCACCTGCGTACCTTTGCACACCCGTACATCTACAAATATTACCGTATTTACACATACACACCCTCAAACTTTCATGGGTTGACAAATGACACCTAGGAATCTTTCTACCCATGTATACCACTTATAATCATGGATTTCTCGATTATGTGCATGAAAACTCGAAGGCACGATACTATATAACATTTTTTAATTGATTTTTTTTTTTTTTTTATTTTTTTTTTTTTTTTTTCACGGATCAGGACGACAAGTCTGGAATCCAGCCCAAATGCCTTCATACCCAGACTGTGCCGACGGAAGTTTAATTGATGTGTTAGTTCGATTCCGTGTCAAGATTTCTCTCGCATCAATGATACTTTTCCGCTCGCAGACAATTCCAAAGCTGTTTTTTGAAGACTTTGCTGCTCGCGAACACAGGCAAGTTGCGAAAAGAAGTAGCTCGCATGGCGCTTCTATTTTCACAGACCTCAAGAGAAAACGACATACTGATCTACAAGAACCACGAATATTGTAAGCGAACTAATCAGATTTCACGTGCTGTTCATTGGTGTTGCCGCTACTTCAATAAATTCCAGTGTAAATCGACTGTTGTTAAGATCGTTGAAAAAATAATAAAGAGAACTAGGATATCACAGCAGCATCAGCACCCAAAAAATACATCGATAAAATATATTCAAGGTGAAATATTAAACGTTAGACCAAACAAATGTACTTGCCAAACAAATCGACCTTTGAGGCACTTATACAAAAAGTCGGGCGACAGAAAAATTGTTCTCAAACGAATTCGTCAAGTGCTATCTTTATGTTATGCCCTGCTACGTTGTGTACTATATATTTATAACTGGCTAAATATTAACTGCACTGATAGACTGATTCAAGATTCAGTTTGTTGTATTGCAGAAACTTGTATTTGTTATTCAAACATTACACCAGATTATATTGAATACAGAAGCACACACGACGCTAGCTGACCATAGAAAAACTAATGATCAACTCTAGGACGATCATTGACCCTAAGTGAGAGTTGCCATACATTACACTTTAATATTTCGAACGATACTTGGATATCATATTGCATGACGTTTTCCCAAAAGATAGTTATCAGAATATTGCAATTGGATACCAATCACTATTTGCACATTCAAAATGTGACACATATCTTTTGTGATGGTACATGCGATGTGGTGCCCCGACATTTTCTCCGTATGGTTTACAATTTACTATAAAGTTGGAAGCACCCTATCCTCCCTGCGTATATTTTATTACGCGACAAAAGTATGCGTACTACAGATGATGGAAATGTTAAAATCATTTTGCCCAAATGCTAACAAGGCCGAATTGTTGATTTTTAAAATAGCAAATCTGAGACAATAAAACCCAAATTTGAATTTTCTAGTAATTTATTCAATAAACATGGAAAACACGAAAAAATTAACACAACCTAATATTAGTATAATTTGCTACAATAACTTGAATCACGTAACAGAATAATATTAAGCGTCACTATATACATTTACGACACGATAACTTTTTGTTGGCACCACAAGCAGTCCTAATTACAATAAGAATTATTAAAAACACCACATTACGTTAACCCAGGGATCGGCAACCTTTTGTCTCTTGCGGGCCAAAACTAAGGGTTGCGAATCTAGGAGGGCCGCATATATTTTTTTTGTGAAAGTTAAAAAACAAGAACAATAAGAATCTAATAACAAAACGATCCATAGGGTCCACTTCGTGTCCAATAATATGCTTGTCGAGCGTAGATTATAAAATTAAATTATATTTAAAATTCGCAGCCACCGTTTGTCGCTAAATTCCAGTGAAGCATTTTGGGTCGGATTAATTTTACTCCGCGTGCCGGATATAGCCCGAAGGCAGTAGGTTGCCGACCCCTGCTTCAAAAGAATTAATATATGTAACACAAAGTCCCTTTTTTCGATTTATTCTTGTACGCTTTCCTCATCTGAAACATAACAAGAAAGCAATGGTCAACTACTTGTATGCATGTACAAATAAAAGTGTTTCCATGAAATAAAAGAAAACAACATACAAAAAACAATTTGAGGTAAAATATCGATTCCAACCCAATATCAACAGAAGTTATTGAAAAAAAGCACATCTTTGAGCACTGATAATTTGTCTATTAGCCTATTAGTTGCCGAGAAAAGCAACTTTTTCCAACCATCAACAGCTTAACAACAATAATTTAGCAAAAAAACTTTATCTCATTTGGTGTCCAAAAAATTCGATAAAATTCAGGTTGTTTAAATAACTTAGGTATATTAAAAATGTTTCGAGACGACTGAGCCAGAAAACTTCAATAAATTGAAAATATTACCGGTTTCACAGATGTATCCAAATTGCCTTTATTGCATTCATGTGTTTGCCAGCGATTGTGACTCATCACGGCACATCCGCTGTCAGATGATTCGTCTTGAATCCAGACTTTTGTGTTGTTGTACCTGAATTCATTATTTGAATGCATCATCCGTTTTATAGCAATTTATGGTGTTTAAGTAAAAAATGTTTTTGGAATTAGGTCCTATAGTTTTTCAACTCATCATCGTCATATTGGACCAGTGGCCAGGACTGAATTGAACACTTCCCCTCCACACTCATAGAAAAAAAGATTCTCCTTTATAAGAGGAACATGTCAGACTGATTACGTGAAATTGTTATATTTTGTTTCATACAATAATACAGGGCGTCCCATAAAAACAGTACCAGACAATGTTTCTTTTACGAAACTGAAATATTCGTAACACTTTAACTTCTGTTTATGTGCGACTGTAATTAGGAGTTTCAGTAATCCAAGACGCTCTGCACAAAAGTTATGCTCTTATTAGAATAAGTTCCAAAATACATCGGTTCTGTTTTTATTCAACATGTGTGTTAGCAAATTTTAAATAAGTTGTCGAATTTTATTTGAGGAAAGACCTCTTTGTGCTGAGTTTCTTAATCCATTTTTAACTTTTGATTAGCTTACTTAGGCAATATTTGCCGAATTTTTTCATAACGTTCTTGGTCTCCTCTCACAATCTTGGCTCCTTGGCTTTCGCATTCTTTTGCGCATCCGCAAAAGATGTGGGGTTGTTTGAATAGAACAATTGGATTACTGGATCAGTTGACAACGATCTTGTGCTGCTGATATCTAAAACTCGAATTGTATGTTTTTGAAAATAATTTGCTTGTCTAAATAATTTAATCTTTATAGTTTATAGAAACATTCTTGTTGTGCATATTTTATCTCCCAACTTTTTATTTGGCATTTTTCACACATACGAAATTCTAATCTAGGAAATTTATCAATATCAAATGATTTAAACTTGAAATAAAATTATATACAACCATATCAAAATATTGACCTCTTTGGCAAATATATCCAAACTTTAAATCACACGAAAAGTCATGCCACGTATCATCTGTATCATCCAAATCATGTCTACCTGATGCTACACATTGTTCGGTAGTTCGGCCGGTATCCGGCTGGTTATCACCCCTAAATAAAATAATGAAACTCCACATAAACATAATATATAACATATAATATCGAAAATTTGTTTATTACATTAGATGTGAGCTAATGACTTTTACAGTATTATATACAATCAGTTATCATCTATTTACAGCTTTTTATGCTACGTATTGCAAATAAGGACACGACTCACCAATTTGTATAACCGTATCTCAAAGATGTGCCATCCAACCAGTACCAAACTCCTTCTGATCGCATATCAGTGGCGCCGATCCAAACTCGTGAATAACTCCTGAAAGAAATAATACTGGTTATGTTTAAAGCAGCTGGAGAGATGAGTAGTAGAAGTTACCGTGTTTATTTTTTGTTTGTTAAATCTTATAGTATAAGCAGAAGAATGAACAACGTATTACCAATACTCAAGCATCCAATCCATTTGCGTCTGTGTATCTTCCTCGTTGACTTTAACAAGCCTTGATCCTGAGCCAAGTTCCGAACAAGCTACAAGTGCTTCACAAAATGATACAGAATCATCTCCATCATTGTAGTAGCTTAGCTCGTATTTATCCGTTCGAATTGAATCAATTTTACCTGAAATAAAGTGTATACCTAGTTCATAAGCTTGATATTAAAAAGAACAAAGGTAATTTCAAAAAATAATTCATTAAAGATCTGAATTCCAATTTGTATTTTGTATTATCTGGCATTTTTCGTCATCCCTAGTTTTTCATCAGCCCTACCTCTCAAAGGCGCAACCATCCCCGTTTGAAAAAAAAAATTATACAAAATTTCTTACTCAGTTTTTTACTCAAAAACAACAGCGTCGTTTTACGGTTAGCTCATCAAGGTTTCGCAGTAAAACGATATTATTTTGCGCATTATCATTTGACGCAATCGCAATGAACATCGCCATATTTTTTCATCGTCTTTTAGATATGTTATTGTTTTAGTCGGCGCTGATACTGACGCTCATTTTCGTGATAATTGAGATATTAAAAAAGAATTGTCAACTGTGGCAACATTGGATAAATGTATCTTAAAAATATATCATATCAAAATATCTATTCTTCGACGTTTGAAAACCATCAATAGCGATTGTCGAATCCGCGGAAAATAAGAATGTGTAATGCTTGAAAAAAGACGTGCTATTAACCAAACGACGTGTGGCAAAAGGGAGGCGAACTACACGCAACCCGAAAATTTATTCAACAAAATTTCGGTTTCCATTTTTTTGTCCTTTAAACGCCTTATGGCGCCGTGAATTGAACTTTTGGCGCACTTTAATAATTTTACCGTAGCCCCACCAAAACGCTCCTGAGTGCTCCTTATTGTTTATCTATCATGTTTATGTATATATTTATAAACAAGAATTTATAAATATATTGCATTGTACATTGTTTCTACAATAGATTTCTTTATTTACTCACGAGCTTCGCCGACGTACAGCATCGCAGCCATCAATATGATCTGTTGAATTTTGCCCATAGTTAATATAAAGGTTGCAGAACGTCTGTAAAATATTATATAAAAAGTATGCAAAATTATTAACTCGCATCATTTAACAGAAAACATGCGGTATTTTTGGTCTTCATTCAGCTTCATTCCAAGCAAGGCTTTGTGCGAGCTCCTATTGATACGTGATGAATCTATTATGCCTTCAGCAAACTGGCAAGCATGACGGATGAACGCAAATACATTAGCCTGCGACACCAACATAGCTAGGTACAACGCCCTAACTACTGGCCCATCTACCCACAGAAATCAGTTTTTGCAAATGTACTCTTGTCGTTGTACCCACCAAGTAAGAGAGTTTGCGCACATTTAGTATCGACCCCGCAGTATCAGAAACCGAATGCATTTTTATTCCTAATTTCAGTACAAAATTTCGAGATGTCAAAATCGAAGCATTTTTCTTCAGTTCCAGAATATGTATTGGAAGATAACCGATGAGGGGTTATCAGCCGGGCTTATATACCCTGTTTGTGCGTGCTCAATAATACGGATATAACCAACATGACTATTGATCGACTCTAAAAATGGTTCGGCTTATCTCAAATTCCGCGAAATTTAGTGCCTTAGTGTGTACATTCCTGATAAAACAGCATATGAGCAAACATTTGCAATTCCCATTCCAATGCCTACTGACGTAAATTATATTTTAATCGTTGTCAGAACGTACCTTCAAATATTGTTTTTCCGTCATCAACTTATCCATATATTTACATTTGCTATTTGCTGTACATCATTTATTCTAGTCATATTTGGTCTTAATTTCCTACAAATTTAAATGAACCTAGAATGCTTCGAATTTTGGATATGAAGTGTTTCAATTGAGACAATACTTATTCCTAGCAAAAAAAACTAAAAAAAACTTGATGTACTGTCTCTTGATTTAAGATACTTCTAAGTCTTACGAATAAATTTGCTGTTCGTGTAATCTCAGCAAAAATGAAATGCAGGCCCATTCAAAAACTTTGGGCACCTCTGCTATAAACAAACCTTAATTACATAACGCCATCTTGTACACAAGGACTGACCACACAGGTATGTCTCCAGTTCAGTGAGAATGATCCGCAAATGTCTCGCTAGTGCGACTTCCTCTATTCTCTCTTTTTCTTTTCCGTCCTTCCATAAAATTTGGTTGGTTGGTTGACAGGAGGAAAATGTGCATTTTTAAATCAAAGTCATCAAAAATCAAAGCGATACTACCCAACGATAATAAATCAAAACAGCGGACGCGGAACTAACCTCCATCTCTTTCAAACGTTGTTAAATGTAGACGAGTATCAGTAATTAATTGGAATCGATGACTTCGCATAATTGCTATAACTTCTGTATTTTCCCTTCTTTTTTAAAGTTAAGGGATAAAATATTTTATTTTCTATTTTATTATTTATTTATCACTATAAAAATATCTACCTAAAAGGCCGTATAGTTTACGGATATTTTGTGAAAAATATTTTTATTATAAATCTTGAAAACTGAGACATCCAAGATGTTACGTGACAAATTAAATATACAAGGTATGAAAAGCACATAATCTATGCTCTGTATACATATGCTACTTTATAACCCTGTCAATAATAAATTTAATTTGCCCAAACACAATTGCATAGTATTCTCAAATTTCTTCTTATTTACATATAAAAATTTTATTTGTTTCAACAAAAAATAAACTTATATATAACCTAAGCGTGCAACACGATTGTTATGCTTTTCTCTGACGATTTTGATAATCAATCTTTGTGATTTATATTCGCAACGTTATCTTTTTGCATTTTTTATAAAAAAAAAAGTTAAAAAACAAAGCTAATTTGTGTATTTTAGGCACAATGGTAAATTGAAAAATCTAAATATTAAAGCAGGGGTCGGCAACCTTTTGTCGCTCGCGGGCCAAAATTAAGGTTGCAAGTCATTGGCGGGCCGCACATATTTTTAGAAAGTTGAAAAACCGACCGGATGGTATTTCTTATATTAAAAATCAAGCAGTGATACATCTCTCAAATAGAATAAAGATTTATTTCCTTATTGCATCCCATAAAATTCCATTTGAATATTTTCAGCGCCATTGAACCCTCTGCACTTAGCATCAACTTTTCTGCGTTTTGTTGCCATTTGCTTAATTATAATTAAATTATATGCTCATTAAACGAGTAATTATGAAATATATAAGTGTTAGGAAATAATATAATTTAGTCTAAAGAATATATTCGTCAAAACGAATGTTTTGTTACTATAATTTAGTGAAGCGTCGCGGACCGGATTATAGTGCTCCGCGGGCCGTAGGTTACCGACCCCTGTATTAAAGTATCAGATCATTTTTTTACATTTTTAACATACATATACATTGAAGCGATGGGTAAATATGTCTTGGAATGATAAAATTCAAAAACAGACATCGGCGCATTACAGGGTCTGTGCAGAACGCCTCCCGCTTGGTATAATTTCTGTAGTCTTCCTTATTAACTTTATGGTTTGGTTATGTGTTGATATTGGCAGATTATAGTAAACAAACTTTTGTTTATTCATCGCATTAAATTGATAGCAAACCGGGATCAATCAGGTATATGAAAACACAAAACTGTGTTGCATTCTGTCGAGTTTATAAAACTTTTTTGACTCGGCTTTATGAATATAATGAAAAAAAAAGTTTCCATGTTATTATAATATTTATTCAATTCGAAAGATATAGACATAATGGTATACTATAGTCCCACATATAGCTGTCTCTAAAATGACTATACCCAACAAGTCGTCTTAGATTGATTGTTGATGAATATTTATTTAATTTAATTTTGGTTGAATTTATTTTGAAATCTTAGTAAACTTGGTTTTGCATTTCCTATTAATGCATATCTAGAATTTAACAAATTAGAATGTTTATTGTAGCGCTGTCCAACGTAATAATAACAGAGTATGTATTTTTGTTGAGTAATTGATAGAATAGGTTGCTAAAACACCATTGAACAGTTTTTTTTTTGGTAGCATCGACGAAACGAAACATAGTTGGAAAATAAATTACAATACACTGAATGGTACTGAAATTGGCATCGTGTGCGACTCCTCACAATATATAATAAACTCATGTAGATATCCGACCAGGAAAGTAGACAAATAAATTATTATTTTTTACTAATGCTACGTTCGCAGCTGATATACAAATAAAAGTATGGCCTAACCCTAACCTGGTACACAAACTACGTTCCGGCGTCCGCCATCTTTGTTCGCATACTACGGGCCTTTTTTTACTAATGCTACGTTCACGGCTGTGTATTCTTCTGAAATGATCAATTTATATTAAATTCACGTTATTTTAGGGATGTGTTGTGCTCTGGCTCTGACTTTGCCCATAAAGGTTTGCGATAACTGATTCACTGGTTACGAACATTGACAAATAAAGCACAATTGATCGGAACAATACTTATTATCATGTAAGGGTAACTGGATGTCCATAAAATCCCTTTACAATTTCAATTTTGTTAGGAAGTCAGTTCTCAATATATCTTAACATGGTTTGTTGTTTTTTAATCAGTAATTGTTCAAGTATCCTTACTTCATTTATCACTGTGAGGGCCAAAACAATATATGGTATCGATAAATTTCCTTTGCAATTTTAAAACATATTAGGCCTTCATAGACACCCTACATACAGAAATCATATGGGATGATAATCTAATAATTTTATATGCTTAACAAGGAGCTTCCATAGACAAGTCTACAGAAATGAATAATTTCTTCGGTTTAAAATGATATAATATTGAGTACGCAATAATGAGTAGAAGCGAGATTTATTTATTAGAACAAACATAATTGCGAGTCCTTTAATTTTTCTACTAATTTATCGATGAATAAAATATAAAACAAAAATGCACGAATAAAAATATCAGTAATATAACCCTCATATTTAGGTAACTTTGTCTTCTCTTACGATCGGTTTGATTTTTATGCACAATCAGATGTAACAGAAGCAACTCTGACAAGGGCGTAGCCAGTAATTTTCAAGTATGGAAGGGAGGGAGGGGGGGGGGTGTTAAGGGTCTTTACAACGTTTCAAGCTACGAAAAATTGCTATGTATGATACAGGAAAAAGGCTTTTTTTTGCGGATTCTGACGAGCAAATCGACACCACAGGCCCTTGAACTCTGTCATATATGTCACATAGATAACTGATCTCTTTTAATGTAATATGAGGCTAAATTATGCACAGAGCCGATTTATACGATAAGAGGTTTCAGAGACTATATGGCAGGGGTCGGCAACCTACCGCCCGTGGGCCTGATCCGGCCCGCGGAGCTATATAATCCGGCCCGCGACGCTTCACTGAAATATAGTAACAAATTATAGCTGTTTAGTCGATTATATTCTTTACGCGAAAAAGAATTTACGTGTAAAATAAAATTATATTATAACGTAACAAGTATATACCGTAATTCATAATCACTCGTTTAATGGGCTTATAAAATTTAATTATAATTTAGACAAATGACAACAAAACGCAGAAAAGTTGAAGTGCAAATGGTTTAATGGCGCAAAAATTTTTCAAATGGTCAGTCTTCGCGCGCTGCTTAAAATTTAACTTTTGATCTGTGTGATAAAATGTGATTCATTGGTCATTCATTCAATTTTTAACATTCAAAAAATATGCGCGGCCCACCAATGACTTGCAACCTTTAATTTTGGCCCGCGAGCGACAAAAGGTTGCCGACCCCTGCTATAGGGCTACTCAACTATTTTTATCAAAGATCCGCCACAATACTTTAAAATGTCGGGAATGCGGTCTTTCTAGAACATATATTTTACAGTACGAGCAAATATATTTCAGCGCTTTTAGGTTTTAGGTTAACGAGTCACCACTATTTTATTATATATATATTATTTTTATTTTATAAGCTATTTATAATAATGACGTCATGTGGGATTGGCTATGTTCTGGAACATGAAAAGAATAATAGTTTAAAATTGATTGTCGAGGTCCCCAAGCCCGGGGCTTCAACCTGTCTTGGTTGAGGATATTTTCGCTCGTGGGTACACAGGTCATTGGAGAGAATATCAGGTTTGAAATATGTATAAATAATATATAATATTGACTTCGCCACACGTTCAATAATTAATTTCAGATGTTCGGCTATAAAATTATCAATAATGCAAGGAACAGCAAAATCGACACAATCAATATCGGGATAAACTTAACAATTTGGGTTACAATAAAATTTAAGTCATTAAATTGTTTGTTATATCGAGCAATCCATAAACTATCAACCCTAGTATTGATCGGGTCTACACTTCACACATGACACCATATGTGGTCGCGGATGGTTTATTATTGGACATTCCCTGATACAAACGGCCAGACCCTTCTCTGGCAGCAACTACAACATTGGTGAGCGATACATCGGGTGACGGGTTGGAGGGGTACGACCACACTTCCGCTGGAAGAGAATGTGTTTTTCCGTCGGATAAGAGAAGCTGATTGTTCTGCAACAATTGAATATAGACGATTTTAAAATATGCTACAGATATGGTAATGTAATAACTTTGTAATAAAAGTTGTAGTCATTATTAAGTGAGGCGCACCAATTACCTATTATAAACTACATGAAATGGGAGAACCCAATTATCACTCAAAATACCAGAAATTCTATATTCTCGAATATTTGAAAAATATTCGAACGGAACTGGGCTGCTTGGTTGTGATGTCACAATATAGTTTAAATAACAATTATATATTTAAAATTAATTATTCAATCCATTTATAAAACATGAGTCAGCGTTGACGTGCCCACTGTTTGTAAATTTCAGCCAATTAAACGAACTGCTTGGCGGAAAGTCTGACCAAACTCTGCGGTGTTTTAGTTTGCTGTTATCTTAATTAAACAGTCCGTTGACAAATCATAAGATATTGTTAACTTGCCAAATACTCGGATTCCAGCTTTGATACCTCTAACTGACCTTATATTCCATCCCAGTCCAAATGCTAACAAATTTACGCTTATCAGTGACCAGTGAACTTAGATACGTAAGCGACATATTGAAATGCTGGAAGTCGTAAATGTTCGAAGGTTTTCCGTTGTTCATTGATTTGCAAATTGATTCTGCATGGGTAAACGTGACGTTCAGTGTGTCATATACAACCACTCGGTAGCATTTCGAATTGTATGTGATGTTACATTTATCTAAAAACAATACCAATGCGGTCAATGAATATTTGGTACTCTCGAAGTATGTGAACAAAGATGGTGGATCCCGGAACGTAGTATGTGTACCAGGTTAGGGTTAGGCCATAATTTCATTCCACTTTTCCTTTTTTAGTTCCATTACAAGTTCGGGGACTAGCCAAATGACTCCCGTAGTATTTGTACCTGAAATTATGGCCTAGCCCTAACCTGGTACACATACTACGTTCCGGTGTCCGCCATCTTGGTTCACATATTTCGGGAGTACCCAATGTTTTATATTAGAAAAACGATCAACGACCGGGCTTTCAGAAAATGATATCATCGAATCTGGTGTGTTCATTTGATAAAATCTTTGACAGAATATTTATTTAATAATTCCAGTTAAATAAAGGCGATACAACGAAATAATCGCTTTTTCAATCCCGTTTTTTATATCTTTTTTAATTCACAGCTGTATTTAAAGCAACACCGCATGGGGGCATTAACTTCGACCGGCGTGACAATTCTATATCAAACTACAAAATCACAAAACAGAAAAAACTCACCCTGAATTTGTTTCCTCTCGTCAAGATTCTTTTGAATTAATCTGAAGATATCTGTAACATAGTTTGAATCCAAATTCATACACTTACTTCAACCACTTATTACATATTTTTAAAACAGTTAAACAAGTGGGCTAAGTATGGAACGTGTGTGCTACGCTACACATTTGAAACACCGGAAATTTCGTCATTTGTTGACGCCCACGGTAGTATTCAGCATGAAAACAGAGTATATCATGAAATATAGCAAACTTACCGGACCCATCATTTTTCTGTAAAATATAAATAAAATGGAAATGATTAGTAAAATGATTATAACACGTATAAAAATGTGTGTTAGAGGGAGGGGATTTAATTAATGATCACGATGGTCTAGTGGTTGAAACAATATCGGCGTTTCAAGATGAATTTTTCAGTTTTAATCCCATGCCAACCCTTCGTATTAGGTGTAAAAACCTGCAAAGATTCCGTTACTTCCAGAAATATTAGTTTTTATGAATACTTGTTTTATATTGAAGGTCCATAAAAGCCTGATAAAATACTAACGTTAAATTTACCTTACAATCTCCAACTTGAACGAGTTTTCCGTTCACAATCTTAGTAATGCAGACTCCATCTAACAAGTATAAAATGTAGTAAATCTCAAGCTCGATGGAAAAGGGACATGCCAAAATATTGAGGAGGATAAAAATTTCAATTTCAAAATTGTACCAATATCCCAACATTCCAAGTACTGCAAGTCAAAATCGAAAAGAGACAAAATATTGTCTGCAATCCAGTATTGCAAAATTTAACAAGTAACTGTAAGCCGATCTTACCGGGTAACTTTTCCGCAAACAATCCACAGATGAGAGTGATAAAGAAAATTACTTCGACAAAATCCATTTTCGCTTTTTGATAGGTTTAATAACGCGACTGAATGCTTAGCTACAAATAAATATTTTCAATTAAATATCTGTAAACACATAAAAAAGTTACTATAGGTTTGGCCCTATCATTATTAGTTGTCCGTGAGTTTTAAAAATTTCTTGACTGACTTCACTTATTGATAATTCAATTTTTTTGGCTCAACTAACGTAACAAGGACCCCGGGTAAATAAAGTTACTCACCAGATGAGGTGACAATAGTTCACTGAAGATCAAAAAGTTGGTAAAGTGAACGAATATTTAGCGTTAAACTTTTGATGTCGACTCACGTGGCTCTAAAGCGACTTTACGCGACCATGGAAACAGCCAAGATGAAGTAGATTCCAATACTTGAAGGTTCTCAGAAAAGCAAATTTATTAATACAGATTCAAACCAGAGAAGTTCGTTCGAAGATTTTGTTTTGGAACGAGGTCGAGAATTTCGAATTAGAAGATACCGAAAGCTTAAACACTATTTTATGAACAAGCAAGAGCTTATAGAAGATTATTCCAGATTGGGGAAATATAGCCTATACGCGTGAGATAGAATGCGAATTAAAAAAGTTAGGATTCATTTTTCATGATTTTATTTTTCGCAAAGAATGAACTAAGTAGAATTAATAATTTCATGCAGACAACTGACAACAAATAGTAAATCTTTGCTGATAGTTTATTATCACTAACCGTGTGCGATACATTTTAACATAGTGAGCAAGAAAAAGAAGCATCTTCTCTAAATAATAGAGAGGTATTGCACTTGCCCACAATTTTTGTAAATAGCCGATACCATTATCTGCGCTTCCAACAAATTCCCAGTCGCGAGGACTTTTATTTAATTATATGCTTCCCATCCCCTTCCATCTATACCTCAAAACGTAAATTAGTAAACCCATTTTCGGAACAGAAACCAATCTTAACTCATAAACTAAATTTCTGCAGTTTATAGAAATCTCCATGAAGGTTTGACTTTTCGTCTATCGTCCACCAGGTACCTGCCCTGTATCTAAAAATAAATCAATGAAACAACGGCCAAACACGCAGCACCTAAACTCGATTCATCCAGTTACGGTAACGCAGTTTCAGGAAATTTAAATTATGGTTCAAATTTTGTTGCACGTCATTTCCCTGTGTTATACCTATCATGTTAAAAACGCACCCATATCACGTAGCAATTGAACTTGATTCACGCATCACAATAGTTCACATCAAGTTAGACGCGTGTTCAATATTCTATTTCACGTAATTTCTCTCGTATCATAGCACATGTGAAGACAATTTTGGTTATCATTACATTATTTGTTTCACATAATTTCCTATATATATAAAATATCCATAAATAATCTGCCAGATTAATAAATATATGCAGGTCATTGTGTGTAGAGTTCATGCATACGAAAAGTCAAACCCAATGACATAATTTCACCATTATAAGCGGTTTTTATACTCAGTGGCCCAATTACCCAAAACACTATGTTAAATTCTTAAAAAACTTTATAAACAGCTATCAGATTTACTCTCAAAGCTTTCGTGGGCAAGCCTACCAATTCAATTTGTTGATTATACGGTCAATAGTATCATAATCAGGGTTATGTCTGAAAAACGTCCTTATGTCTGAAAAACGTCCTTATTTTGACATGTGCCCTTATTTTTTTCCTTTTTTATGGATAGAGGTTCTAATACCAGGCACTTAGATTGGTCGATTCGAATGATTAATTTGCTAGAAATGATATTGTACAACCTCATTTATTGCTACGCGCATTCATTACGTAATAACGGCAAATTAATCGACACAATGACAAAACAATAGCCTACCGGCAAAAATCAATTCGTGTAACTTGAATCAAAATACAACTTAAGTGAGATGGAACAGATTGTTACTAAGAAAATAGAACTGCTGGAGCAAATACTTTCTAGTGCAAAGTATGATTAGACACGGGTCGCTCTGACATGGATACATTTTGCTTATTACATTTCGTTCTTTGTTATTCTATCATTATGTTTCCCTGATGTCCCAGGCCAGGAGATCCGAGAATTGGCCATTCCCTGGAATTTCTCATTTGAATGTTTATCAAACTTTAATTTCAAATGATAACAGGATACTGTAACGGTTCTGTAGATGTTCAGTCTGGAAAAGGGCTTCCCAACCTTTTTTTCCCTGTAGACCCCTCAATTTTCATTCAAGGTCGTATGGACCCCCAAGTATTTATTGGAGATATCCAAGTTAAATCACTTGCTGTCGTAGAGCTCTTTAATTATAGTGTACCCGGTACTATTACCATATCCAATTTTGGGCTTCTAGGAAGGTATACCTGTAGACCTTGCTTGTCGTGTTTGAGCGTTTGTACTACGTTGTTTTACGCTGTAACCAAACTTACTTTACCTATTGTTATAGGAAAGCAGGTGAGGACAATTTTGGTTTATATTACATCATTTTTTACATAATTGCCTATATATATATAATCTGCCAGATTATTGAATATTCGCAGGTCATTGTGTGTAGATTTCATGCATAGGAAAAGTCGAACCGGATGACATAATCTCGCCATTATAAGCATATTTACTACTCACCGACCCAAGTACCCCAAAGCACTATGTTAGATTCTTAAAAAAAACTTCTTGAACAGCTATGAGATTTATTTCTTAAGATTCCATCGAAAAGCCTATCAATTTAATTCGTGATTTATACGGTCAATAGTATTATAATATTAGCGAAGAAGTATTGGATCTATGAATCGCTTTGCTAACGTGACGGCCAGGACATCAGAGAATTGGCCAATCCCTGGAAATTATCGGTTGAATCTCTATTAACATTTAATTTACCGTAAATGATAACGGGTTACTGTAAAGGTGTTGCAGATGTTCATTCTAGTATATATTCACTGGTAATTGGCGTCAAATTACATCCAGAACTCTAGACTCTTTGTATAGTTCACAGTTCACAGCTCAAAATTCACCAACAGGATTCATACATAGTTGTTGTTTTGTGACATATATGAGATTGTAGGGATAAGATGTGATGTCTCAGATTTGAGTGACCATAATTTAACAATTTCCTGGACCGACTCTGACTCGTACCCCTCAGCTTCAACGCCTACGTGAATGAAGGGCGCTCCGGTAGTATGTGCATCAAGATGGCGCACAACCTGAACCCTAACCAGGTACACATACTATGTTCAGGTTGTGCGCCATCTTGGTACACTTACTACGGGAGCACCGAATGAAGTGGCGTATTTTCTTTTCTTTCTAGTTTTCCACGATACACTGAATACAATCCTATACCTTCTATCCAGACTCGACTTAAATTGAAAAGATATTGAGCACTATATATACACGTTAAAGTGGTGACAGTCTTTTTTTTCATCAAAGAATGTGTCGTATGAACCGTATAGCAACAAAGTGATCTGTTACGGTGCACAATTGAATTACACCACTAGTATCCCACAAACCAAGAGTTATTGTCATTATTCTCGTCTTAGAGTTTTTGATCTGACGCATGATCCCCCTTCATATTCAGATATTGATGTCAGCGAGAATAGATTATTGGACACGAAATTTACGAAGTGGTATTCCTTTTCTTGTTGTTGTGAAAAATTGTTTTCTTTCTTCAACTATTGGACCAATTTTTTAGAATTTTCAGTGGTTAACGATTGTATATATGTGCTTTTTACTTTTATTCAAGTCGGCGCTTATGAACCGGTTTATAAGTTTCAAATCATCATTTTAATTCTAAACATTCAACAACTTTTCATTTAAAAGTATCGGTTGAAACGTTTAGCCTAGTCTATCACAGCTTTTTCTAGATTTTTACATCTAAGCATGGTTGTAAGCATTGCCTTGTTATTTCAGTTTTACATGCTGTTTGTCAATTTTTAGTTATGTTTACGAGAATTAGTTGAAATGAAGTAATTTAATCAGTACCGGTACTTGTAAGCGGCACGTAGTTGTATATTTTAATAAAATTAATGGTTTCGAGCATGTAAATCAGTTAGGTGCCAACTCTTCAAAACACTCGATAAAAAAGCATATATTGTAGAGAGAATTTTTAAGGATCGGGGAAACATCCATAGCGGTAGGGTGCTCCGAGTCGCGACAAAATTGGTCTATGCAATGCTGTGGCCTAGACGGTTTACTAACTTTTATAAATCGTCTGTAGTTTTCATGAAATACCGTTTTTCTCCGAAATAATACAGTGTCACATTTCAATTTTCTCTCAAAAAATAACACCTGGGCTTATTTTCAGGGGATGTCTTTTATTTTCATTTTTATAATTGCGAGATTTTCAAAATGCAAAATATGAAAAACGATATCCATTTACTTATAAATATCAAGATTTTATTTAATGCTAAACAGAAATTATAAATCCTTTAAAACGAGTAGGAAAGATTTCTTGCTATCGACCAGACAAAAAAAAAATTTGCGCTATCGACTGGGTCTTATTGTAATAAGGGGAGGGACTCATATTGAAATCAATTTTGAAAATTCATGCTAGGTCTTAATTTCAGGGTAGGTCTTATTTTCGGGGAAACACGGTAGTCATAATGAACTCGTGTTTTTCTTGGGAAGAAAATAGGCCGCGAGCCGAGGCCATTTATCTTTCAGTTTCGTAGCGCACATAAGGTAACTACCTGAAAATGATTTTAAATGTTCCTTAGAAATTTAGTAACAAATATTGCCTTGTTCCCACTTCCAAAAGTTGCACGTTTTACAGAAAAGACGCTTTTACTACAATAAATATGTGTTACCATCTGTCCTATTTTCTCTGCTTTTCCAGTATCATGGGCCAATGAACGCAGACTTCTGCATGACGTAACAATCAAATTAGTCAGCTGTAGGTGGATCCCCAGTGGTCGGATGAATATCAGATGTACTACTGCTCGCTTTAGCGTTGAGTAGCCTTTCCATAGTTTTTTTCAGTTATTATTAGTTCAGTTATTCTACGGAGGTGTTGAAAAGTATAAGTAAGATATTAAACACTTGTATATCTTTACCATAAATAGCAATTTTAGTTGAGCACTAGCTCATAAGACGTTGTTAAATAGGTACGGTGCGGTAACTCCAAGGAAGGCTAGACCTAGAATAATATGTCACAAACAACGATATTTTCTGGCTCGCATGAAATGTTTATGATTAATTTAATGACTCTTCTTGACTATTCAGCAGACTTATACTACTATATAGGCCACACCCTATTTGGAAATAGAAATTAATGGCTGTTTCTGTAATGCACGGTTGTGTGAAAGAGAAGAAAATAATCAATTTTACTAATGTCGGTTGGTCTAAATCTAAATTCATAGAGTCGACAAGAACCTGGGAAGCAATGATAAGTTATGCCGGAGTGGAAAGAAAGTAGCATTGGAAACGATTGAGAGGTGAGAAATCAAGTTGTAGACAGACAGTTGATGTTTTAAAATATAGTCCATACTCATACTGTCATAGGGCATTTCAGACTGTGATATATCAAAATTTAGTGTAGATATAGTCTAGTAATGATATGCAAACACTGCTAGACTGTAGTACATGCAATGAGCAAATATACGCTCATTGAGTACATCAGATAAAATGCATTATGTATTCAAGGTATTAGTTAGTATTTAGTGGTATTTTTACGCTCATGCTGTTCCAAATATGATTTTCTTCCTCATTTTAGATACTGTACTACAAAAGAAAACGGCAAAGTTCCACCAATCCGACCTAAAGCAGGCTCTAATCCCTGCTGCTATCAGTGCTATAAAATGGATTACACAAGAAGTCTTGAAGCGAAAGATATATGAGAATCATAATAGTTGCAAACAGCTTAGATGGGCTATTCATATTGAAATACTTTAGCACTTTTCTGCAATTGGAACTGCCCATCAAACTCAAGTTGGAGACTTCATCGAGGTTTTCAATTCATTTTTTTCTCTATAACTATAAAGATCTTTTGAGGTTAACGAGGCATTAATAAATAAAGCTGAGGGATTTGTTTGTTCACTGTATGAAGAGGATATGAAGAATGTAAATGATACCAGGGCACGTCTATTTAACACTGGCAAATATAAGGATTCCAGGGGTCGGGAACCTTTTTGGTCAAGAGAGCCATCAAATATACATATTTTCAATTGCATTTCCGTGCGAGCCATATAACATTTGTCCACTTAATCAGGCCTGAAATGTTCACTTAAAAGTCAACACATAGGCTACAATGTCAATATACATTTAATGTGATTTCTGATGCTGCATGTAGTCGCTGCGGGCCTTGAACGGTTGCTCACATGCAGCCCAAGTTGAAATCTACGATACTCATCACCCTTTTTTAATTAGGCATCTCCGTAGTGTTTTTAAAATTCTATCGCTCTGTGATGTTACAATATATGTTCCAGAATCCCCTTGTTTGTCACAATGCCTATCTGGTAATTATCTTACATAACATAGACATGTGCTGGACGCGCGTTCTCAAACGTATTGGGAATTTCCTGCCAAATTTGGCTATAAAAGAGTTTGGGATCTCGTAACAATAGTAAGCTTAGTCTTGGGATATTAGATTGTTCTGAGAGCCATATGCCGTCACCAAAAGAGCCATATATGGCTCGCGAGCCATGGGTTCCCGACCCCTGGATTATACTCTGCCACCCAACAATGATTCACTGAAGAAGCATGTGGCCCTCAAATCAGTTCTTGAGTTGGCAAACTGCAAGTGTAGGAAAAATAGTCAAAATAATTTATGCAACTGTGCCAAAATCAACTTAAATTGCACAGATTTTTGTTTTTGTATTGACTGCAAAAATCACAGTACACTTATAGAGGAAAAGTCGATTTTCGAGATAGTGGGTTTCGAAAACAATTCAGAAGAAAGTGAATTAGATATTGCAGTTGATTTAATAAGTATCATTTATTTGTTTTTTTTCGGACATTTGTTAGTGTCGTAGTCCTGTTTCTAGAAATAATATTGCCCTTGTTCGAATACATAACCACATAAACTAAAAAAAGACTAATTGTAATATTTTTGTTCACTATGTTATGTACATATTGAACATACATTCAATTTTCTTGACTTTTCCGGTAAATATCTAAGTGAGAAATAACTGATTTATTTGTGTTTTCCTGCTCACGATGTTAATTTGTGACTTCATTGCTTAAAAATAAATACGTTTGATAGCTTCTATAAAATGGATGTAGCTTTTTATGCTGTTCTTTTTGTAAACTGTTTGGGGTTATTACATAAAATGTATTCGCTAATGTGAATCAGCGTTGTTGGTGTCGCTGCTTTCGAGGTCACTCGCGACTCCTGTCACTCAATTAAAGTATTTTTTGTTGTTGGTTACTTGTATGCCATATTTTTTGTAATCTACCTAATAAATTATGATTGACTGAGGAAGTCCGATTTTGGTCAGGCAAAACATTAGGATAGGATAGGATTTACATATTTTTCCCGGGGAGAGGAAAGCCGATAAGACGGCTTATCCATATGGCGAACCACGGCCTCTCGTCCGGTTACCATTCCAAGTCGGGTATGGGGTTAGTTATATTGCTTGTTTTCGGAAGCATGGACTTGGTGGTGGAGGAAGCCGTAACCGACCAGCGGTTACGTGAACAACCCAACGACGGCGAGGAGTCCAGCAATCCTCTCGCACATAACCATTCCTGCATGGAATTCGAACCTGCGAACCCACGCAGAGTAATTAGAGGTGCGGTGGCGAGCGTATTCCTAACGCTTAGCCCGTTGATCTACACCACCGCGCCGTTGCTTTTTTAAAATTGTAATTCACCGCATTTGTATATCAATAAAAATAAAACAGGATTCTGTATTTAATTATTCTAGAATAGTAAATTATTCTATACTGGCCATCCCTAATTAGAACCAAAAATATTTAGTGCAGCTTGCCAAACGTTCAAATTCATTTGTGATATTAATATGTTTTTCAATGGTAACCACTAAACTAAACAAAAATTAATTTTTATGTATTTCTAACTCCTTGTAATTGCCAAGGGCAAGCTTCATCAACCATAAAGTAATTTTTTAAGTGGTCACGAACTTCCGCTGGACTATTTCTGCGACCTTGCCTTTGCAAGGGCAAAAAATTGTGCAAAATGTGGGCCTAGGGATTAGGGAATTACAGGATTAGGGATTACAGGAATACATTTGTGTTAGTGTGCTGTAGGGCTCTCGAATTGCATAGTTCTTATGTATGTGTTGTAAACTTATGGTTATTGAATTTCCGGGAACCTCTTATATTCAATTTCGCATCAGGATTGCGGAAAAAGCTGTAATGCGTTCAGTATGTTCATTTTCACACAAAACTGAAGAATTTATTTAGTTACCAGATGTGCGCTACGAAACTTTTTTTCCGGGCGTTTCAAGGCTTCGTCTCATGGCCCATATCTGTGGTAAGGATCTACAAGTGTTTAATAACTTACCTATACATTTTTCAACAACGTCTTAGCATAACTTAACTAACAAGAGAGCTACGCACAAATATATGGACACGTTAGACCAGAGCGAATCAGTCCTTACCGGTACCTTTGACGCTACCGGTACCCTCAAAAAAGTTCTGAATTTCCAGTAGCAAGGATTTTGCAGAATCAAAACGTACAGCCAATCATGACACTGACTAAAATCCGTGTTCCCATGGATAAAAAATAATACAGCAAAATTTTAGACGAAATATCAAATTTCATAGAATTCACGCAAAATTTTGAAATAAATAAAAGTAATAGCCTTCTGGAGAAAAATTTTATCTTCAACCACTAGAAATTTCAAAGCAATTGGTCTAGTATTCGAAGAGAAAAGCGACTTTTTAAAAACGTGTCAAAGAACAACAACAAGAAGGCTATGCTCAAATATATGGACACGTTGAGTCACATAATTTTTGATGACGTCATATCGAAAAAAAAAAGTAATAGCCTTCTGGAGAAAATTTTTATCTTTGACCACTGAAAATTTCAAAGCAATTGGTCCAGTATTCGAAGAGAAAAGCGACTTTTTAAAAACGTGTCAAAGAACAAGAACAACAACAACAACATAATATTGAAACGATCGTTATGTCCACTACGTGTCCAACAACATAATATTGAAACGATCGTTATGGCCACTAAACGTGTCCAATAATAACTAAACAGGGCTATGGAAAGGCTGCCCAACTCAACGCAAGGTCGAGCAGTAATAACTAATATTCATCCGCTCGCTAACAGCTGATTCGATTCAATTGTTACGTCATTCAGAAGTCATTGTTCATTGCCGAAAATGTAGAGAATATTGGACAGATCGTAGCACAAGTCATATTTCTTGTAGTAAAAGCGTCTTTTCCGTAATACGTGCAACTTTTTGAAGTGGGAACAAGGCAATATTTGTTACTAAATTTTTAAGGAACATTTTAAAATAATTTTCAGGTAGTTACCTGATGTGCGCTACGAAACTCTCTTTCTAGGCGTCTTTCAGGGCCTCGGCTCGCGGCCTAAAACTTATGCGATAAACAAGTGCGCCTGTGACGCGCACAGTAGATCAAATTTTTTCTGGGGTCGAAGGTCAAGAAGATATTCCGTTTTTTATTTTCCTATTCAATTCAGTTCTGCAGTTCCATGATTCAAGTGTTACCGGTATATTCGTATGTTTGTTCATGTATTATAGTTGTCTGTTTGCTAGCTTTTCGTTGGATATCTACATGGTGAAGTAGTGGATTTACATTCACAAGATGAAATTTTCAGAAGGAAAGGATGGGACCCAGGCAGAATGCCTTTGTTGCTGCGGTATAAGATCTACCAAAAGCAGAACGTCTTCCGTATACAATCGAACTGTGACAGATGGTACCGGTAAGGATTAGCCTACTTTTTTTTCGTCAATTACCGTATCTTACCGATATTTTTTTATGTACTGTTTCGACTTAGAAAAGTAATAATTCAGTACAGTACCGGTATTGATTTTGTTACGAAAACTTTACGAAAGATTTAAAAAAATTCAACTTAGAAAAATGGGGTCTAGTATAGTTTAGTACTGTAGTACCACAGGTACTTCCAGTGGGCGTAGCAATTTTGCATATGCTATTCCTAACCCCCACCTGACTATGCCATCCAAAAATTACGTCACTACAACGTCGCCATCACGTCATACAGTCATACGGTAGGTCTTGCCAAAGTATAATTACGATCGCCTGAAATGACATCTGCACCGCCGATAACGAACTCGCTAAAGCCAGCGATCTCTCTCCTATCGTGATTGTTGTGACGAGAAAACAAGAGAGATGGCTTGCTCGATTTCGGGTGCTCGTCTGCGCGTTTTTGACGACTATTCGCATACTTTAGTGGGCATTATTACACCACTGTGACGTGGAAATGACATAATTTTTGGGTGACGTAGTCAGGTGAGGGTTAGGATTGACATATGCAAAAATTGTTGAGCCAGGCCAACTAGAGGTGCATGTGGTACAGTACTAAACTATACCAGACCTGAAAAATGGGCCTATTTACCAATGCTGTGTCAGTCTGTAACTTGGCATATTTTTATTGATACTGGAGACTCTTTTTCTAATTCCAAATTTGTAGTCAAGGTCAACTCTAAGAATATTATCGGTACGTTGACCCCTTTCAACAGATACAGCTAGTCTAATCCAATAAGCATGCACACGCTATTTTTTGTTGTTGTAAATGTTTAGTTTGAGTTGTGAGTCAAAATTGTCTTACACAGAACCATGAGTCAAATTTTAAATTTTGTTAGGGTGTTTTTTTCTATTCTACGGCCCATTATCGTACCAGTACCTACGCCTTTTGTTGCAAAATTATGGATATATACTGTATACCTGACATCTAGACACAGTCAAACTACGGCCCACGGGCCAGTTCCGACCATTTGGGTAGTTCAATGTGGCCCGCCTGATGCTTCCAGTACCAAACTAAAAATTTTGGTGTTTTAGCTCAAGGAGTTTGTTGAGATTTCGATTAAATTTAGTTTGGGCACGAGGCTTTTTGTTTTCATTTTTGCGTTTGTGACACTGTGAATATTGGGGTCTCGTGTAGTTTTGTACCCAGCGTACTTCTATCCGGCGTAGCATAACAATTTTATTATGTGTCAATCCTAACCCCCACCTGACTACGTCATCCAAAATTACATCACTACGACGTCACAATCATGTCATAGAGCTTGCCAAAGTATACCTATCTATGATCGCCCGAAGTTGCATCTGCGCCGATGAAAGAGAACTTACTAACGGTAGCGATCTCTCTCATACCAGGATCGTTGCGACAAGAAAAATAGCTTGGTTGTATTCCGGGTGATCGTCTGCGTGTCTCGGATGACAGTTTGTATAGCTTGATTGGGTCTATTAGGTCACTGTGTCGTAATTTTTGGATGACACAGTCAGGCGGGGGTTAGGATTGACACATGCAAAAATTGTTATGTTACGCCCACTGAAAGCTCTTCAGGTACGAAACTACGCTAGACCCAAATATTGTTCATAAATGTAACTTCTTACCTCACAATTATATGGCCCGTTAGTCTAGGTGGGCAAAATATTTGGTCATTTGTTCAAAAACCTTGAAATAGAAAAACCAGAAACCCCTTCTATATACTGATATAATATTGTGAAATGATCAAATATTAGATTTTACTCATATACCATAATTTCCAGGCATAGTTGAAGACGGTGTTGATGGAGGAAACAATATTAAAACCTGCATATGCTGTTGGTGCATGGGATGTGATCAGGAAGGTGTTTATGTTTGGCTGAAGAATTTACTTCTACTGTATAATTTTATATTTTGGGTAAGATTTTATGATATAATTTTTAAGATATTTTTATCCGTTTGAAATGTATTGTGTTTGTTTGTTTTTTATTTTTGAATCGTAATAAACTAACTGTATAAAAGACACACAACAAAGTCCCTCAACTTCAAATAATTTCAATCAAAAACCTTTTTTCAACAAGAGTAAGTTTGATTTCATATGTTAGTATGATCTTACAATTAATACAAAAATGATAGTGAATCACATTCAATTGAGATGTTTTTACTCATTTGCATAACACTGTGAATATAGTCGGCCTAATGAGTTTAACAGACTTCACTTCACTAAGTATGGATGTTCATTTGATCATATTTATCACTTCACTGTTTGTATTTCCATTAGTTCTGCGATCAGGACATCGGCCTATATTATCACTAGGGCTGGGCATTTTCGAATACCTTCTGGTTTCAGAATCGAATCGAATATTTTTTTCGAATCGAATCTCGAATACTTGGAAATATATAATTGTAAGCGACATTTTTATTTTAATTGGTCCTCTAAACAAATGAACTACTGAATAAATAGAATATGTTACTCACACAGATTACTGAGACACCATTAGAGACACGTTTTATCAATAACTCACTGGCCACTGCAGCAATTGGTCATATGTCAGAATTGTGTTGAAAAAAATATAGCTTCGATGAAAAAAAAAAATGGGGAAATTACCCCGATCATTCGCGGAAAGAAAAAAACAAGATGGCGGCGATTCAGAATTTTGCTCTAAACCGACTCAAATAATTTACTATTCGATTCGAAATGCCCAGCCTTAATTATCACTATGCTCACAAGCATTTAGCATGATTTTTAGGCATTTCATTTTTTTTATATGCATGTATACTTCCAAGCTTAATAATTGAAGCCCAATTAGTGAGCATCTAGCTTGTATTCATGTATTATGAGTCATGACATTACTTGCAAGCTGGAAGTCAGATTAGGGAGCAACTCAGCGTGTTTTTCCACTCACTGTATATTCTATGTTACAAGGGGGTATCGTCCATGTGATACTTCACTCCCACATCAATGTAATAGGTTATTCATGCTTGAAACTTTATTTGGTGGCTTTCCATCCTCAGTGTTGTCTTTTTTTTTATCATGTCAGAGGTCAAAATTAATTTATTTGTTTATGAATACTTTATCTTGGTATAATCTGTAAATTATGTTGTAACTTGTTATTATTCAAGTAGTGGTGTGGCTCACCCTGCTAAGCGTTAGGAATACGCTCGCTACCGCACCTCTGATCATTCTGTGTGGGTTCGCACGTTCGAATCCCATGTGGGGATGGTTATGTGCAGAGGATTGCTTGACTCCTCGTCATCGTAGGGTGGTTCACGTAACCGCCAATCGCTTACGTTACGGCTTCCTCTACCATTAAGTTCGTGCTTCCGAAAACAAATAACCAGCTAATCCCATACCCAACATGGAATGGTGATCAGACGAGAGGCCATATGGTTCACCATATTCACCATATGGTTAAGCCGTCTTTTGACGTCTTTCCTCTCCCCGGGATAAATATGTAAACCGCATCCTATCCTAATTAATTTTTTATTTGTTTCAGCTTCTTGGATTTTGCCTAATCTCACTGGGAGTTTATTCTGAAATCATGCGACAGCAATATTCATCAGAAGCAAATGCTGTTTTTCTAACTCCGTCTGTTGTTCTTTGTTTTATTGGATCTTTTTGTTTCATATTTGCTACATTAGGTGGCATAGGAGCTCTCAGAGACAACTTATGCATGCTGAAAACAGTGAGTGGATAAATCATGTGCACTTATTTCACTGTATGTATTTTGTGAAAGTTTAATCTGAACCCGAGTAAAACACAAAGAATCTATAATTTCCACAAAGCTGTAAATCAACACATAATTCCTTCAAAGATATTTTACAAAAGCAATTCATCTTTGTGCCACCCATGGGTTCATGACCCTATATGTAGATACTTGAAAAAAAGTATATTTGTCTTACTCCTTTTGTCAAAGGTTTGAATAAATTTTCTGTGGTAGCGATTATGTAGAATTAATATATAGGGTGTCCATTGGGTCTTGAAAAAATTTAAAATTGCAAAGGGAAATGTCGATACCATATATTGTTTTGGCTCTAACAGATGTACTAAGTGAAGTAAAAATACTTGAACAATTGCTGATTAAAAAACAACTGTCTTGTTAAGATATATTGAGAACTGATTCCATAACAAAATTGAAGTTAAAGGGATTTTATGGGCGCCCTGTGTTATTTTTGAAATATATCTAATTACTATTATATACATTTATATATAACTGTAAGCTAACTGGAAAATGTTTGGACTGGAAAACTTGCTTTCTCATTCATTATTTTCAATGATGTAAACTTTATTTTTATTCATTATTGGCTTACTAAAGCTAGGAAAATAGAAAAAGACTTGTATATAGTTAATCTCAGAAAATGTGTTTACTTACAGTGTCAATTTTTGTTTTTCAGTTTGTGTACTCAATTCTATTTTTTGTAATCATCGAGCTGACTTGTGGAATCCTTGCTCTTGTGTTCAAGGAACCTGTGAGTATTATGATATTACATTTGGCTTTATCTAGTCCAGAACTACATTGGATGTACATATTTATCCTAGGAGAGATGAAAGATGATAAGACTGTTTAATCATAATGTCGGGCATTCCACGACCTCTCATCTGATTACCAGACCATGTCGGGTATGGAATTAGTCAGCAAGGTATTTGTTCCAGATACATGGTCTGGATAGCAGCAGACGACAAAGCCACCAATTTTCTTGCACATAATTATCACCCTGCTAGATTTATTAAGCGAACCGTTACAGGTTAATTACAGAGTTGCGAGGACAGGCGTATCCCTAACGCAGGGGTTCCCAAGCTTTTTTCAGGACAACTTCAAAGACAACTTTCAAGTGTCCTGCGACCCGAGGTCAATATAGCCTATAGCTTTTTTTACTGGACTTTTAAGTTTGGTCATATGGTGGTATCAAGTAAAATAAGCTAAAACCAAACAGTGATGTCACAATAAGCACCTATATTTTCTATAGCTTAAGCATAGAGCGATACCTATGGGCCTGTTTTACAGTAAGCCATGGTACAAACTGCTAAATTTAACATGGTTTGTCAAATCTTGGATGTTTTGTACATACATCCTCTACCATACCTCAGCGACCCCATGACCTGTTTGCGACCCTACCTACTTATAACTCCGACCCAATTTGGGGTCGTGACCCCTGGTTTGGGAATCCCTGCCCTACCGCTTAGTTTGATGCATAATACTGCTGAGTCTTGCGTGGTATCTCTAAATATCAATGTGGATGAGCGGGACAATACTGTTGTATCGATTAAAATTGGCAATTAATCCTTGGTACTATGACTTAAAATCTTAATGGGTAAGTATGTTGATAGGTATTTGTTTGTTTGTCTGTTGGACACTTTCGTATGTTATGCTCGATATCTCACAAAAGCGAGGTTGAATACATTTGCATTCATCATATCTCGGACCAGAAGCCTATTGATTTTGGATGAATTATGTCATATAATTGGCGAGTTATTAATTAATTAGTGTTGAGACACGTGGTGTCGCTATTGAGTCAGAACGAAGGAATCAAACTGCTGATAGATAAGTCGGCGGTCTCGCTATCTAGTTTAGCAAGGGTTGCTAGGTTTTCTTCTACCCAACATTTAAATCATTGTTTTTTGCAGGCAAAAGACTTCGTGAATCATTTCATATTGAAAGGTTTGACAACGTATTATGATGATCGAGATATGAAAGATGTCATAGATTATGTACAAAGAGAGGTAAGATATTTGCTAACTAGACTTATAATGGTTGAAATTACTCAACACGAGAAACTATTTATGGGGGTAGTTTGCATCAACAATAATTGAACATTCATTCAACTATCAGCCTATTTGTGTTAAAATTGTTTGAGCTTAACTTGTGATATACATTTCAACTTGGCTCTTTTTTAATAAACTGCCATTTAATCTTGTATAAATAGGATTCCTGCTAAGTTTTACTTTAATAAAGTGAGCCATCATGACTTGTATAAAATTCTAAAATGTATCGAAAGAGTGATCCAAAACATATACCGGTACCTAATCCACCCTTTACATACATTTTCATAAATTGAGTTCCATTTAAATAATTTACTTTGCAATGTAAAGCACAGAATTTATCTCCTTGTAAATTTAATCTATTTGTACAAAGCTACATTCAATTCATCAATTTCCCAGTTCCAATGCTGTGGAGGAGAACTATACAGAGACTGGGAAGTGAATGTTTATCACAATTGTACTGCACCAGGCCCAACTGCATGTGGAGTTCCTTATTCATGCTGCTTGCAAGAGAATGGAACCATCAACATCAATTCTATGTGTGGATATGATACCATAAATCTCAAGGTAATAGGGTCTTTCATTGTGTTGCGAATAGATTTGTGTTTCCTCAACCTAGGGGCCACCCCCACAAGTCAAACTTAGGTTGCCTGAAAATTTCTTGGGTCGCTTGTTTTTTCAGCAAAAACCTAAAAGTTACAGCATTTATTTTATAGTAAATTTTATTGTTCATTTTGTATTTGCATTGAATGTTGCTCAATAGTAATTGTGTATTGTGTGTGTAATTGTGTATTGTTTATCACAGTGTAAGAACTTAGCAGCTGTTTTGCTTAAGTAAAGCCACACCAAGATTTCAAAACTAGTTCATGTCAGAAAAGCACAGCTTTTTCACTTGGATTGTTTTTAACAAAAAGTTGGGAACCACTGTAATAGATCATCATCTGATATGCTCTTATATGCTAGCCAACACCGTAGTCCATGGAAATCGGTTTTCAAATTTTTTTCAGTTCTATGTGGCTTTTTGAGGAATCTTTTGTAAAATTGATTATTTCACTTTCATTATAATTGCTGTATCAATTGACAGTATACTAGTCGAATTGAATTAAACTATTATCGGAGTCTTCCATGATTTCTCGCTAGCTGATATATCATGCTAAAAAAATACTTGTCATCAAATCGATAAATATTGCAAAGCCTTGCCATCTCCAATATTTCAATTGTTTTTCAGATTTTTGAAGCCAATAGTTTTGTTTATACTGAAGGATGCATCAATGCTGTTATTGATTTTTTTCTGATCAATCTTAATGTCCTGGCTGGTATTTTACTGGGAGTGTTTTTACCACAGGTTAGATTTTTGAATCTGAATAGGTTGATTTCAATTTGGCATGCTATGTTTTCAAGTGTTTGTGTGGCACTCGATTGTCATCTAAAATAGTGAATGATGGTGTGGTCTATGTTCTATGCAAGGATGCCAAAATTGAATAAATTTTTTATCTTGAATTTAATTAAACTATTTTGAATACATTCTGAAAATAAATTATTTTGAATATGATATATAGAATATTTTTTAAATTGATTGGTTTTTCCAGATAACTTCCAAAATCACATTTTTTCATAAAAATTAAACTTAAAAATGCAGTATAGTTGAGATAAACCTTGTTTTTTTCATTGAATTCCTATTTTTACAATATCAGAAATTAAATGAATAAATTTTTTATACCATCAGATCTCAAATTTTATAACAAACTTTCAAACGAACATATACAAAATTATTTTCATAATCCAATAAAACCAATTTTGAATGTATTAGAATTATTGATTTATCTTGGAAATATGTGGTTGTACATTATAATCCTTACATCTTGGTTTTTTTTTTTGGTTTATGATTTTTTTTAAATCATATAAGTATTAATGGCAAAATATGGCAACACTGAGCACAAAAGAAAAAAATCAGGCTCTTTTTGAAAACCTATTTAATTAACGATGATGAACATTATATTCGTTTTTAAAATCCTTGGATCTATAAAAAATTTATAATCTTGATAACTTTAATTTTTCCTTTAATGATTTATTTTTGAATTGTATGTGCATGCATTGTGTGACTAACAATAGTTGGTGGCTTGGTGAAATACATATAGTTATAGCATATACTATACTAACAAAAAGTTAGATCCGGGTGGTCCAAGATTGGCAGCTCCGCGGGCCACAAAATTACTTTTGCATTGTTCGCGGGCCACAATAGTGCCAAGAACTTTGCTCGTTTAACTTCGTTAGTTGCCTCAGCGAGCCATAACACTAGTCAATTCAGTGACATTAGTGATGCCACAATATGTCAAAAGATTTTTTGGTTAAGTTTATGACGAAACAACACAAAATGCGATTTTTTGATTCCTCTCTGAATGCGACGCGGGCCACAGATAATGAAGTGGCGGGCCACATGTCACCTGCGGGCCTGGGTTTGGACCACCCCGAGTTAGATGATACATACCGATAGGTCTTTATTATTAACAAAGCTGATGGTTTCTAGTATTTTAAATCCCAATGATGTTGGGTCTCTCTATTCATATCTTAATAATTTTTTTTTAATAAATTTTCAGTGGTTGAAATTTCAGCGGTAGCCCTCTTCATATTTCCTACTCACACTAGAAATCAATTCTCTGTCTTGTATTACATTTTAGTTTCTTCGCTTTTTATTTTAATTTATGCGTACTCTCATAGTCTCTTAGTTCGTTTACAATCTTCATGTGCAGGCTCCAAAATCAGATCCCACAGTACAGTCAGTGCTCTATGGCAATTCCAAATTGTGTCGTAGAATTCAGTCATCTCTCTGATTTATATTTTTGATTATATAGGGCAGGGTGGTCCAAACCCAGGCCCGCGGGCCACATGTGGCCCGTCGCTCCATTATCTGTGGCCCGCGCCGCATTCGGAGAGTAATCAAAATATCGTATTTTAAATTGCTTCTCATAAAATAAATCAGAAAAATTGTTGATTTTATATCACCACTGTGACTGAATTGACTAGTATGATGGCTAGCTGAAGCAACTAGCGAAGTTGAAGATGTGATGGGCAGTCTGAATCGTTACCTGGATTTCTATCGTTTTGGTCTGGAATATTTGCTAACAATATAGGCATGATAGAAAACTAAACACGGATGCGGATTCCATTAGCCTAGGTTGGCAATGCCTGATAACTATGTATTTACACAATAGGAGCGCTTGATTTGTATTGCACTGTTTATCTATTCTTGGTACTATTGTGGCCGGCGACCAATGCCAAAATAATTTTGTGGCCCGCGGAGCCCACAACCTTGGACCACCCTGATATAGGGTGTCCAGAAAGTCTTGAAAATTTTTAAAATTGCAGAGGGAATTTATCGATGGCATATATTGTTCTGGCCCTCACTGATGTATTAAATGAAGTAAAAATACTTTAACAATTGCTGATTAAAAAACAACAAAATTGATTAGGAATAGGATGTATTGAGAACCTACTTCGTAACAAGATTTAAATTGTAAAGGGACTTTATAGACACCCAGTGTATTGTTTTATTTTTCTCCAGTAATTCAAAATCATAATCAAGCCTATCTCAATCTACTATAAATATTTAGTGGATTATAATGGGTAATGAAATAGACCAGGTTCTACTCTTAAGACAATATCTTCATTTCATTATAGAGAAAATGATAAACAAACATAAAATCATTTTACATTGGGAGATCAATGATTACATTTGTAGTGAACAGTCTTTGACATTGAGTCAATCAATTGATTTATTGCCATAATTAATCAATGCAAAGGTGACTTTTGAAATCGAGGGCTTTGTGATCTGATTTTATTTGCTTTGGCTTGCTTGCTTGTTTGCTTATGCTTATTCTCTGTTCGTATAAATGATTGCTAATAGATGTAGCATGCTTCATTTTTGCATTCCCATTGGTTGAAATATTTCTTCAGATAACGGGAATATTATTGGGAACTTTTTATGCCAGCTGCATCGCGGATATCATGCGAAAACAACGTGACAGCAACTTTCAAATACAAACTGAAATTGATATAAAGGCTTTAGATGAGGAAAATTTGATTTCTGACAGCAGTGATAAGCGTTACAGCTACCCACGTTATGTCAAACGACCAAGTCTGATTTCAGAAGGCAAATTTACGCCAACAGCAAGCGTGCGAGAGGAATCAAGGCATCCAAATTTGACTAATGTTGAAGCAGGAAAACTTTTAATGAGAGGGTCTCCAAGTTCCTGCAGAGAGGAAACAGCATTTTTATAGAATTAAATGACGAAATAACTTAATTTTACTGCTATGCATGCCGAAGTGAATGTCTAACTAATGCCGTGCATCATGTGATGAATGCAAAGATCAATCAATATTAACATCCATATAATAAATATTCAGTAATAATAAACAAGACTTAAAACTTGCTATTTCAAACTAATGCAAACCCACACAGGATAATCAGAGATGTGGTGACGAGCGTATTCTTAACGCTTAGCACGATGCGCCACACCGCCAAGCCTTCAAACTCGCTATTTAAAAATAATGCATGTAATAGATAGCAAACATTACAAGCTTTTAAAAAATCGGTAAAAATGTTTGATTTGTATGTACTTTCATAGTCTATTATAGTTTTCCATCTATATATAATATTATCCGTTTTGATATAGAGTTGTGTCTTATATTTTATTGGCCTTAAAAGTTATGTTTCGAATATGGTAAATATCCGTTTGCATTTTCTGTTTTTTTTGTTGTCAATTCGTTGTGGTTTGCTCCAAACCCCTCCCCCTCCCCCCAGGATTTGACAAGTCTCACCACCTCAAAAATAACTAGCTAACAATAAGCTATAAATAACAGATGGAAAAGCGAACGTATGTTTCATTCAAAAAACACGTTGAAAATACGTGGATGGAACGCAAATATTGAAATTATCCAAAACAAGGAGAGCAAGATCAGATCTAACAAATATTTTTGTTTTTAATTAGCTTCACGCCCCCTCAAATTCTCCTTGTGGAGCGCACCTCACCGTTTGTGAACCACTGATTTAAAAATTCTATTTATTCTGTCAATTTAAAAATTATCTTCTGTTATTTTTATGTTTCTGTTGTTTTTTTGATGATTTCTTCTCATGCTTGATTGACCAAAATTAATGTATTCAGATTGCAGGTTTAGTCATTGGAGTTTGGTATTCTCGGATTGTGAGAAAAATGAAAACGGAATACACTGCAATGAAGAAACAGCAACGGCAGATGGAAATGACAGAAAAACAGGCTGGATTTCGTCTGGCCAGGAGAAATTCTGGATCAGATGATGAAATAATACAAGTGTAGTTGCTGATGTTTTAGGATCATTGTTGCTACAGGGTATCTAGCTAACTGCTGTGCTTTCTATAAAATCCATGCTAAGTGTTCAGCTCACCGGTTCTCAACCAATGGTTTATGGGCCACAGTAAGATAAAATTGATAAAGTAGTTAATTTTGATTGTAGTGCCAATGAATGATGATGCTGTTTTCTGCTATTATGTGGTATTTTTCATTCTAATTATCAAAGTGAGAGCGCATATTTTTGAGGACATGTTTTTTTTTAGTTTTCCCCCCTTGCATGAGAAAGTTGATGAGCCACAGAATTTTTGTGCAATGAAACTGGGCCATGGAAGAAAAAGGTTGAGAACCACTGGTTTAGCTGAATCATTTTCCAAAAAGAGTCTCTTGTACACAATCATAAAAGTACTTTTACCTAATGTGAAAATTCAAATAGGTCTGTTGAAGAAAATTCACAATCGACCAGACTCTAAATCAGAGGTTCTCGAGCTTTTTAAGCCATGCACTCCCTTTATAATATTCAAAATAAAGAAATGTAAATATTCGATTCAATTAAGGCAGGCAAGATCAAATATGACAAATATTTTTATTTTTAAATAGCCTCACTCCCCCTCCCTCCTCAAAATATTGTCTACTCCCCCTTGTGGGACGTGCCCCACCATTTGGGAACCACTGCGCCAAAATATCTGACTCGAGTTCCGTTTTAATCGAATTTTGGTTACAAAAACTTTGGCATATGCAGGCCTTAATTGATAGACGGTTATATGAAAGCTTGGTAAAAAAAGCTTAGCTTTTTAAAAAAAATTGAGTTCATGTTCAATGATCAATTTCTGCTCCAATGAAAACATGCCTCGCAATGACTCAACAGCCCTGGATTGGAATACCAATTTTATATACTGGTATTAAGTTCCTATTTTTGATTTTGTTGAAAAATCAAATACTAGTTTTATATAATTCATTTGTTAGTAATGATGTCAGTTCAATTTTTTATTGTGTCAGTTCTAGACTTGAATCTCATATTTTTTAAATAGTTTTAGGATTCTTAATTAAATCACAATTGTATGTTTGATTTATTTTTAATTAATTTATATAATTGAGCACTGTTACCTATCAAGCCATTAATTATGCAAATAATATTCATATCAACTAGTATTTGTTAATCAAAGATAAGTGATTTTATTTGCTTTTTATTATGCAAACTGTGGCCAAAACTAGCAGAATATCTGGTGTGCGCAATGGCTCAAAACGAGTATGCTTTTGGGTGTGCTATGTCGGTAATCATGCTAATCCATATCGAAAACTATTAGCATCTGAGTTTTATCGATCAGTCAGTTATTGGCTCGTATGTATATTTCATATTGGAAATAATTTGGCATATATTGCTGCAATTTGGAATTTGAATAATTGACTTTGTTGGGGATGTGAAACAGCATGAATTAGTCTTTGTCGCAGTAGTTTTGTGAATTCTAGTTCAGCTGCACTCAAGTATACTACTCCACACTTTTTTAATTTTCTTTCTCACTAGCTAAACCAATTAATCCTTATAAGAATTAATAAATTAATTAAAATCACTGTTCTTATAACCAAATGCACTGTTAATTATATGTTAATATAAGCACTGTTAATTACGTTTTTCTTCTTTGTACTTTTTATATATCATAGGGCTACTTTTTGTATGATTTTTCACGACTGTAGTTCATATTATTTTATTGAATTTTAAGCATAATTTTGTTAATTAATGGTCATTCTGTCTCGTAAGTCTATATTAGTTTGTACTGTAGGGTAGGCTTCCACCACAAGTCTGTCTGTGTTTGGGTATTTATGAGTGATAAAAGTGTATGTGTCATAAGCATAGTTACAGGTTGATAATTGAGATTGAATTTTTGTATTTTATAGTATTAAGGCTCGACATTCAATCATTGTTGCATAATTACCTCTGAAGCGCCAACAATTATATTTAATTTCCTCACTTATTGTAATTCTCTAATTTATGCTTGTAGTTTGGGGAAATGAATGGTTAATCGGTTGACCGTATTTGTGTCCTAAACTGTTACAAATGTTATTAACCTTTGACCATTTGGATATATTTTATATTTGGTTATACAGGGTGTCCATAAAAGTCCCCTTACAATTTTAATTTTTCTATGAAGTCAGTTCTCAATATACCTTAATTAACCAGGTTTGTTGTTTTTAACCAGTAATTGTTTAATTTACTTCATTTAATGCATCTGTGAGAGCCAAAACGATATATGGTATTGATAAATTCCCATTTTTTTAAGACTTTATGGTCACCCTATATGTTATCGCCTGTATAATGTCAAATCCTACAAAACAATTTTTTATCTGAATGACAGAACTATATATAAGCACTTCGGTGCTCCAGCAGTATGCGCACCAAGATGTCGCACAACCTGAATCCTAACTTGTACACACATACTATGTTCAGGTTGTGCGCCATCTTGGTGCACATATTTCTGGAGGTCCAGCACTTATTCGATGCAATCATGTTAATTTCCCTCCTAACTTGTAATCGATAAAGTTTGTTCCCTAATGGATGGCTTAAAATCTTAAATTCCACCCCTGATTGTGGTGTTTATACAATTCATATAATGTTCTGGGTAATAGATTAAATATTGCGCTGTAAACAATTTTTGCTTTACCGTTTGTTTGATGCTTATGCAATAAAATTTTGCTTACGGATGTCTATCCTCGTTCTTTTAAGCTTGCTCGAACATATAAAATATCAATCCCATGTCGGTGAACCTGCCATCCTCCAACGCCCTAACCTCTGTATGATATACATGCCATTATTCGGCTTCTGTTCTCGGGAACATGTTTTCATATTCGGGGTAGCTTTCAGTGCAACCTTCGGCTAATTCACTCTGCATTGATGTTAATGCAACGAGCACTATATAAATTCTAGCTATAGTGCACCACGGAGCATGCGTTTGCCGTAAAGCGGCATTCGGCCTTCCGCGAGGTCGGTTCGCAAGTTCTCCACAATTAAGAAAATGCAAAGCTGAGAAACGTTGCTGAATATACCTGCAATACTTTTTTGGTTTTGTTGTTTTGGTTGTTGCCAAAATCTAAATTAGTTCGTCACGATGAGCATTCTTTTGTCTACAAGTATCAGGATATCGGATCAACTGTTGAGGTTCATTCGGGTTCGGTGTTTTTTTGCTTCAAACCACTTCTAAATTGTTGTTTGCTGTAGCTATGAGCTTTTCTTCTATATCTTCGTCGTCCGCCCAGCCTTGCGCTTTAGAATACGCGTCAAGTGATTGCTCATGATTCGGTATGGCGGAATCGAGTCCGGATTCGATTACATAATCGATTCCGATACATTGGAATCGATTCTCAAGGTTAAAACTCGGATTGCAAACAGTGTTTAACGTTTTGTGACAAGTGTTTAACGTTTTGTGACTGCTATGTTGAGTTGTTACAACACCGCTAACTTCACTATATATAAACTATATATATATATAGTTTTTCGCTGGAAGGCTTTTGCCTTTGTTTAGTTCAAAAATCTCTATGGGTACTGAGAAATTCGTTTTATTTTGTGCGATTTTGTGTACTATGACAAATTGATTACTACTTAGTTTTGGCTCTCGTGTCCATATATTAGAATTGCTCTTTTGGTTGAATTCATAGGGTATTGTCTAGGTGGGTATGAATTTCTAAAATAATTGAAACAAATTTAACCGCCAAGGCCCTGACTCTAGATCAGGTGTGGGCAAATTACGGCCCGCGGGCCGGATCCGGCCCACCCGAGTGTTTCATCCGGCCCACTTGTGCCGACATCAGGACTATGGTTTTTATGAATATAAATTTCCGTTGAAAGTATCGATGATTTAAAGTGACATTCCATTGAAAATATCGATTACTGATCGTCGGCTAAAGTAAATACCGTAATCCCTACGTATGGATATTTCCCCCTGGTTATATCCGTAACAATGACCAATCAGCAAAAAGTTTACGATGAGGTAGCTAACAATTAAAGATATTCAAGCATAGATGTAAACATTGCCTAGTTTTAGCGATTTTGCGTGAATTTGTCGATTTTTAGTTGTGTTTCAATAAATTAGTTGTAAATGAACTGTTTAAATTGTCACTATGTCTTTCGGTGAGATGTAAATCAGTTTGTACGTGTCAACTCTCCAAAACACTTGCAAACTTCTTTTTCTATAAACTTTATTCGTGCAGCTGCCGTAATTTGCCATCCTCTGCTATAACATCCCATTAATAATCGTTATGTCTACGTATTTACAAATAACCGTTTTTGATCATTTTGAGTTTGGATCCTCTGGCCCAGTAACCAGGTCTATTATCCGAATCCGGCCCACTCAGTAAAGTAATTGCCCACCCCTGCTCTAGATAAACTGATAATAAATCAATTTTGTACAATAAGTGGATACAGACTTTGATTTGTCAGCACGAAGCTTTAACGCAATTTTGTGTCGGCTCCATAGGGGGCATTGTCGTTTCAATAAGAACCTTCACGGACGGAATAGGGTGTCGTAGCAATAGTCTTTGCGATTCTTGTAATGTTTCAGAGACTGGAACATTTTCTAATATATTGCCCCGTACGTACAGCATTGAAAGACAATCTCCTAATCTTAAATGCGGCGATCGTGGCATTGATCTCTAAACCAACGCTGGCATATTCTCTTCACTACTTTTTTGAAACACTATTTTGAAATGTCCACTAGAAGATATTGGCATATTGAAAGTTCGGACCTCCAGAAGTATGCGCACCAAGATGGCGCACAACCTGGAATAGCTATGTGTGTACCGGTTAGAATTCAGGTTGTACGACATCTTGGTGCGCCTATTTCTGGAGCCCCGAAAGTTCGCTTTGTCAATGTCTATCGCAAAATACTTCTCAGGGGCGTGCAACCTTTAATACAGTAGGGCCATATACAAATAGCTGGGTGAAATCGAGGCCGCAACTTCGCATAAGCTAGCGGTATTTTAACGTCATAGGCATAGGTAACAAATTGGACCCGGGTATAGACTTTGTGCAACGCAAATGGATTGGGAATTACTTGCACTTACCGTATTAAAGTATATATATTGAAAACTCGTTCGCGAACCGCACACCATTCAAAATTGTCACATTTTTTAAGATGCCGTTGCTAGTCTATATGCGGTTGCTAAAACCCATAGGTTGGGGTGAGTATGGGTTCAAATATCCGTAAAATAAAAAAAATTTCATAGGTGCAATAGTATGCAGGTGCAATTGTCATGGGTTCAAATATCCGTAAAATAAAAAAAATTTCATAGGTGCAATAGTATGCAGGTGCAATTGTCATGGGTTCAAATATCCGTAAAATAAAAAAAAATTCATAGGTGCAATAGTATGCAGGTGCAATTGTCGTGGGTTCAAATGTAATGGGACCTATTCGTGTATATCAATTACCGACCTTGCATTTTGCATTGATACGTTAGATCGGGAAGCACGTGCTAGATATTCTTCTCGCACTGGGAGTAACGATGGATGTGAAGCTTCATGCCCAGTAATGAGTCGAATTCCGTGATGTACATCCAATGTGGACTACCCGCTTTATTCAGATCGCTGAACAATATTTTAAAATTTTCGGTAATCACGCTAAAACAACAAAATTTCATGGGAATATCTTGATAAAGTAATATATATATATACTCAGGCTTGTCCGTGAGACCATTTTCTGTCCCATTCCCATCCCATAGCAATTATGCCTGTCTCATCCAAACCCATGGGATTTCCATTGGTATGAAATTCAATAAAAATTGTTAAATTTAAGATTAGCGACTATTTAATAGGACTACATGTACAAAGAAACATGCAACACAACAAAATTTGCTTTGTTAACTTTATATTCATAACTATTATGCATGTGTCCATCAGCCCCTTCACGAAATATATTGTTAATGCTGAATATATTTTGCTCTTTATAACTAACAAGAGAGCTATGCTCGAATATATGGTCACGAAATCCATAACGAAATGTTTTACCTACATTTCCCTGAAAATCATACGGTATTCCTGTCCCATGGGAAATACAAATGTGTGCTGTCCCATCCCATCCCATGGGACGTTTCCCATGGACAAGCATGTATATATATATATATATATATATATATAATACTGGTTTCTTTGTGATGAAGAATATGTTATATACAAATTCATTTTCTTGAGCTTCATCAAAATTAAGACTAAATTGGTCGCCATGGCGATATCGGTCGTACTCCGGCAACTTTGGGTCGTAATATTGTCTCCTAACTTGCGACAAGCAGGCCTTGTTATATAAACAGACGTACGGGCCTCGTGTCAGTCTGGAAAGCATTACATTTTTGTTAACCGTTTAATATCGTCAACCGTCGGCCTAATTTTTTAATTGTAATGTTTACAGCAAACTTTATAATTCACCATAGGCTAAATTTTTTTAAATCACCTACGAATTTTACCTTCTTAATTTATTGGTGTTTCGCGAGGCGAGATAAGAAGCGAGGTTTTACGGGGCAAAAAAAAGTTGAGAAACGCTGATTTAGAGAATTGATGGCAGATCATTTATTTATTTGTAAGTTACGTATAGTTTTATATGTGATAAGAAAATGCGTCTTATGTTGAAACTGTAAACACCTCATTTAAAAATACTTGCAAAAATATATTCACGAAGTTTTAAATCGAGCGCACTATACCAGAAAATATCTCATAGTTTGTGATAAAATGCCAGAGTCTCATTTGTGATTCTGAACTTGAAACGTAGTCGAATTTACCGAGCACCATGGCAATAACTACATATGAATGTCTTGACAAGTTTTCCGCGTTTCGTATTGTAAAATTTTTTGATTCTCATCGCTGTAAATTTCGTTTTACAAAGGTAGCAATATCACAACTGAACATATATCATGTAAATTGCCAATATACCAAATTTCCTTATAAATGTATCTTTGCTGTCAAAATATTGGTGATTTTATACAGCCTCGTTCATTTACACAAGTGGTTGCCAATATTCCATGGCTCGTGATCCCCGTCCGGAAGCTTTTAGCACTTGTGGTGTTTTATATGCAACCGATTACAAAAGTTAAAATTTGCAGTGCGCGAAGGTTTTTATATTGTTAATTTGATTGAAATTGCACAAGAAAATGAAAACACCCTGCAACTGAAAAAACCTGTTCCCATAATGAAACTTAGGAAAACAGGGTAATTTCGATTATAGGGAAAAGTACGCGAACGACATCGCATCAAAATCCATTTCGGCCATAGTATCGTGGCGCCCCAACAACTGCTCTGTGGCCCCCTTGGGGGCGCCCCCCTGGTTGGGAACCACAGATTTACACAATGAGATCAGCATTGTTATTTATACTCACGCATTCCTGTCTTTGCGCACAGCAGTCTGCTTCCCATTTTTCATCGTGATTTAATTCAATGATTATACTCCGAATAAACCACAGAATTGATAACCTAAATAAGATAAACAATTACTCCGTTATATGACTCATTACAAAGAAATCATTGTAGATATTCAGATCGCTTGATTCAATGTAGTGACTATTTCAAGCATAAGACATACATGCAACATGCTATTACGTGACTATGTGGACCTCATTTGGCAAAGGGTCAACCTCCTACGCGTAGTTTTTATATAAACAATAAATAACAATGCGTGATTTGTTTTTGTCTGTCGTGTCCATTCTTTTGTCTGTGAACCTATATC